ATCTCCTCTCTCTCTCTCTCTCTCTCTCCATCTCTCTCTCTCTTAACGAGAAGCAGTGAAACGTTGACAAGGTCCTACATCTCCTCTGTGTCTCTGTTTCCTTCTCTACATCCCTCTCTATCTCCTCTCTCTCTCCATCTCCTCTCCCTCTCTCTTTCTCTACATCTCTCTCTATCTCCTCTCTGTCTCTCTCTCTCTCAGCCACTCTGAGAGGAACTTCAACAAGGTCCTACATGTCCTCTGTGTCTCTATCTTCTCTACATCTTCTCTCCATCTCCTCTCACTCTCTCCTTCACATCTCTCTCCGTGCCTCTGTCTCCTTCTCTACATCCCTCTTATCTCCTCTCTCTCTCTCTCTCCTCATCATTGGCTCCCTCCCTCCCTCTCTCTCTCACACTCACACTCTCTCCCACAGGTGCTATCGGAGTGGAAACAGAAGTATGAGGAATCGCAGAGTGAGCTGGAAGGGACACAGAAGGAGGCGCGCTCCCTCAGCACTGAACTCTTCAAGCTCAAGAACGCTTATGAGGAGTCACTCGACCACCTGGAGACCCTCAAGCGAGAGAACAAGAACCTGCAAGGTGGGCACGAGAGGGAGAAGGTTCCCCCAGGCCCCAGCTTGGTCCAAACCCAATCCTTGGTCCACAAACCCAACCATTGTCTCCCAAACCCAACCCTTCACCCACAAATCCAACCCTTCACTCTCAAACCCAACCCTTCACCCCCAAAACCCAATCCTCATCTCCCAAACTCAACGCTAGATTCCCATTTTCTCTTCCCCGCCCCCACCCCCCTCCCTGCCTCAACCCCTGGCTTGGGCGGGGGTGGTGTGGGTGGTCAGACTACACCACTGTCCATCTTTCCGAGGCCCCTCTCTCTCTCTCTCTCTCTCTCTCTGTCTGACTCGGTTTACTTTTCTCCACCCCCCCCACCCGCAGAGGAGATTTCGGATCTGACGGAGCAGCTGGGAGAGAGCGGGAAGAGCATCCACGAGTTGGAAAAAGTCCGGAAACAGTTGGAACAGGAGAAGCAGGAGCTGCAGACAGCGCTCGAGGAGGCTGAGGTGAGGAAACTCGTCACTGTGCTGTGTGTGTGTGTGTGTGTGTGTGGTGGTGTGTCCGTGTCTGTGTGTGTGTGTGTTGAGTTGTTTGGTTGTGGTGTGACCTCTCTCTCTCTTTCTCTTATCCCCTCCCTCCTCCTTCCCTCTCTCCCTCTCCCTCCATCCCTCTCTCCCTCCTTCCTTCTCTCTCTCTCCCTCCTTCCCTCTATCCCTCCTTCCCACTTTCCCTTCCTACCCCAAAGGCCACCCTGGAGCACGAGGAGGGTAAGATTCTCCGAGCCCAGCTGGAGTTCAACCAGGTGAAGGCCGACATGGAGAGGAAGTTGGCAGAGAAGGACGAGGAGATGGATCAGGCCAAGAGGAATCATCTCAGGCTGGTGGACTCTCTCCAGACCTCGCTGGAGTCCGAGACCAGGAGCAGGAACGAGGCCCTCAGGGTCAAGAAGAAGATGGAGGGAGACCTGAACGAGATGGAGGTGCAGCTGAGCTTGGCCAACCGCCAGGCCTCCGAGGCTCACAAGCAGGTCAAGCAGCTCCAGGCCGCGCTCAAGGTAAGGTGTCCAGCTCGCTCAGAACTCCCTACCCCCACCAGCATCTCAACAGCCCTCGCCAGGCTCCCCCTCACACACACACCAAACATATAGCCCCACCACCATCTCAACAGCCCTCGCCAGGCTCTCCCTCACACACACCAATCCCCGTAACACCACCATCACCCCAGTAGAATAATTATTATTATTCTCTCTCAGGATACCCAGGTGCACCATTAGCATTATGTTATTATATTATTATCTTATTATATTTATCTCAGGACACCCAGTTGCACATTAGAATTATATTATTAATTGTATTATGTTATTATTAATCATATTATGATTGTATTAATCTCAGGACACCCAATTGCACCTTGACGATGCCCTAAGAGGTATTGATGACCTGAAGGAGAATAGTGCGATGGTAGAGCGAAGGAATAACCTTCTCCAAGCCGAGCTGGAGGAGCTCAGAGCCGTCATCGAGCAAACAGAGAGAGCGCGCAAGCTCGCCGAGCAGGAACTCATAGAGAGCAGCGAGAGAGTTCAACTGCTACACTCCCAGGTAACTCTAGAGAGAGAGAGAGTGGGGGTGGGGGGCAAGAGGGAGAGATGGAAGGGTAGATAGAGAGGAGAGGGAGAGAGAGAGAGAGAAAGAGATAACACAGGGACGGAAAAAAGAGAGAGTTGGGGTTGAAGTGGGTTGAGTTGGGGCTGAATTGGGTTGAGGTTGAGTTGGGGTTGAGTTGGGGGTGAGGTGGGTTGAGGTGTGGTTGAGTTGAGTTGGGGTCAAGTTGGGTTGAGTTGGATTGAGTTGGGTTGGGTTGGGGTTGAGTTGGGGCTGAGTTGGATTGGGTTCGAGTTGAGCTGAATTGAGGTTGAAGAGGGTTGGGTTGAGGTTGAGGAGGTTTGGGAAGGGCTGGGTTGGTGAGGGGAGGCCAGGGCTGTTGAGGTAAGTTCTCAGCTGACCCTGGTCCATGTTTCTCGTCGCCCAGAACACAGGTCTCATCAACCAGAAGAAGAAGCTGGAGGGAGACATTAATCAGCTCCAGACGGAGGTGGAGGAGGCCATTCAGGAATGTCGCAATGCGGAGGAGAAAGCCAAGAAAGCCATCACTGACGTGAGTCCATCAATATATCTCTCCTTCCTCCATCTCTCCATCTCCCTCCGACACTCCAAAAAATGCAGCACTGAGTGTGTATGAACGCGAGTGGACTTGTGTTGCTGTGTGTATGTTGGTGTGTGTGTTGGTGTGTGTGTTGGTGTGTGTGTGTGATCGTGTGTGTGTTTGTGTTGGTGTGTGTGAGCGAGGCATTGCATGGTATTGTCATTGACGTTGGGTTTGGTCTTGGGGGCAAACAGGCGGCCATGATGGCGGAGGAGCTGAAGAAGGAGCAGGACACCAGCTCCCACCTGGAGAGGATGAAGAAGAACATGGAACAAACCATCAAAGACCTTCAGCACAGACTGGACGAGGCTGAACAGATCGCCATGAAGGGCGGCAAGAAACAGATCCAGAAACTGGAGGCTCGGGTTAGTGTCTGGAGGCTGAGCCGAGGGGGGGCCTGAGGTGGGGTGGAGTTGGGGCTGAGTTGGGGCTGAGTTGAGTTGGGGTTGAGTTGAGGTTGAGTTGAGTTGAGGTTAAGTTGAGGTTGAGTTGAGTTGAGTTGAGGTTGAGTTGAGGTTGAGTTGAGGTTAAATTGGGATTGAGTTGAGGTTGAGTTGAGGTTGAGTTGAGTTGGGGTTGGGTTGAGGAGCTGGAGGGGGGGAGGAGGGAGAGAAGGGAACGATGGAGGAATCGAGAGAATGGAGGACTGGAACGTCTCTCCCTGGAGGATCAGCTTGAGGGAAAGAGGGATGGAGAGAAGGAGGGAATGGAGGTGTATGACGTGCTCTCTCTCTCTGACCAGGTTCGGGAGTTGGAGAACGAGTTGGAGGGAGAACAGAGGCGATGTTCTGAGGCTGTTAAGGGCGCCAGGAAGTACGAACGGCGGATTAAAGAGCTAACTTACCAGGTAATCTCTCCCTCCTTTTCCTCCTTCCCTCTCTCCCCAGATTTACCCCCAAATTCCTTGTCTCTCCCTCTCGATTTCTCTCTCTCTCTCTCTCTGTCTGTCTCTCACTTTCTTTCTGTCTCACACTCTCTCTCTCACACTCACACTCTCCCTCTCACACATTCTCTCTCTCACACTCTCTCTCTCACACTCACACTCTCTCTCTCACACTCTCTCTCAGTCTCTCTCTCTCTCTCTCCCTTTCTCACACTCTCTCCCTCTCTCTCTTTCTCACTCTCTCTCTGTCTCTCTCTCACTCTCTCCCTCTCCCTCTCTCTCTCTCTCGCTCTCTCAATCCCAGACTGAGGAAGACCGGAAGAACTCCATTCGTCTTCAGGACCTGGTGGACAAACTCCAGCTCAAGGTCAAGGCTTACAAGAGATCGTCCGAGGAGGCGGTGAGTTCCTTTCACACTCACTCTATCCGTAGAGCCGGTCAGAGAGAGAAAGTCCGGGGGGTGGAGGTGGGGGAGAGAGAGTGAGAGAGAGAGAACGAGAGAGAAATCGTATCTCATCGAGACGTCTCAAAGCGCTTCACGGGAAAAGGTGTGGTGACTGCGCTTGGCGCTTTTTTTTTGGGTGGGGGGAGGGGGGGGGGGTCCGAACGTGGCAGAGAGAGAGAGAGAGCGAGAGAGAGGAAGAGGAAGACTGAAGAACAGAGAGAGAGAGAGAGTCTCCCTTCTCTTTTCGAAGAGGAGAGAGAGAGAGAACGAGAGAAGGAGGAAGACTGAAGAACAGAGAGAGAGAGAGAGAGAGAGAGGGAGAATCTCCCTTCTCTTTTTGGAGAGAGAGAGAGAGAAGGAGGAAGACTGAAGAACAGAGAGAGAGGACTCCCTTCTCTTTTCGGAGAGAGAGAGAGAGAGAGAAGGAGGAAGACTGAAGAACAGAGAGAGAGGGAGGAGATGTAGAGAAGGAGACACGGAGGAGATGTAGGACCTTGTCAAAGTTCCTCTGCTTCTTGTCCAGGGCCGCGGCAGCAGCATTGGATCTCTCCACATCGATCATCAGGTCCTCGATCTCGTTCTGCAAACGGTGTTTGGTTTTCTCCAGCGAAGAACATTTGGCATTGACGGCCTCGACCTGCTCCTCCGCCTCCTGTAGCCTCTGGGCCAACTTCTTCCTGAGGGCGCGAGAGAGAGAGAGAGAGAGAGAGCGTGAGAGATGGAGAGAGGGAGAGAGAGAGAGCAGGAGAGAGTGCGTGAGACAGAGAGAGAGAGAGAATCCTGTAGCCTCTGGGCCAACGTCTTCCTGAAGGTATGAGAGAGAGTGTGCGAGAGACAGAGAGAGGAAGAGAGAGAGAGTGTGTGTGAGAGACGGAGAGAGAGGGAGACAGAGAGAGAGAGCGAGAGAGAGGGAGACGGAGAGAGAGAGACAGAGAGAGAGACAGAGACACGGAGAGAGCGAGAGAGAGAGAGAGAGAGAGAGAGAGAGACAGAGGGAGAGAGAGAGAGAGAGAGCGCGAGAGGAAGAGAGAGACGATATTGATCAGGACCTTGCGAAGATGGGAAGTCAGTCAGGTGCCTCCCTCCCTCCCCTCACCCGCTCCCTCCCTCCCCCACTCGCTGCCCGGACAGTGAACGAGATCGACCTTGGTCTTCTTGGCTTAGCAAATTCTCATGTTCTTATGTTTTCTCTCTCCTTCCCTCTCTCCCTCCTTCGCCTTCTCTCCAACTCCTCTCTCTCTCTCTCTCTCTCTGTCCCTCCCTCCTGTCCTCTCTCCTCAAGCGCTCTGGGATGCCACCTTGCGAGAGCGGTGTTCTCTCCTTCTCTCTCTCTCTCCTTCCCTCTCTACCAGGATGGTGGAAGGTGAACAAGATGGACCTTGGTCTTCTTCGCCTAACGGTAAAGCTGGGAAGACTTTGAAAGAGCTTGGAAGAAATGGGAAGGGTTGAAGAAGTGTTGGGAAGAAAGGGCTTGGAAGACTCGAAGAGGGTTTGGAAGAGTTTAGAAGAGCTTGGAAGAGTTGGGCAAGAGCTGCGAAGAGTACGGAAGAGCCTAGGTGACCTGGGAAAGGTTTTGAAGACCTGAGAAGAATTGGGGAAGGGTTGGGAAAAGTTGGTAAGAGTTTACAAGAGTTGGAGTGAACTGGAAAGCCTTGGCAAGAGCTGGGAAGAAATTGGAAGGTTTTGAAGACGAGAGAAAGGTTGGGGAAGAGTTTTGAAGAGTTGGGGAAGAGTTTGGAAAGGACTTGGAGGGCTAGTGAGGTTTGGGAAGAGTTTGGAAGAGTTGGGGAAGAGTTAGGAAGGTTTGGGAAGAGTTTAGAAGAGTTGGAGAAGGGCTGTGAGTGTTGGGCACAGACGGGCACGTACTTGGCCTCCTCCAGCTCCTCTGTCCTCTGGATGGCGTCGGTCTCGTACTTGGTTCTCCACGTGGCCACCTCGGAGTTGGCCTTGGACAGGAGCCTCTGCAGCTCCCCCTTGGCCTCCTGCTCCTCCTCATACTGTTCCCTCAGGAGGTCAGCGTCGTGTCGGGCCGACTGGACAGCGTGAGCTAGAGCATTCTTAGCCTGGTCAGAGAGAGGGAGAGAGTGAGAGTGTGTATGAGAGAGAGAAGCGGAAAGAGAGAGAGAAAGAAAGTGTGAATGTGTGTGTGAGAGGGAGTGAGAGAGAGACAAAGCAAGAGACAGAGAGAGTGAGTGAGTGAGTGAGTGAGAGAGAGAGGAATGTTGAGGAGAGAGGCAGAAGGTGATGGGAAGGGAGAGAGAGAGAGTGGCAGAAGGAGAGGTGAAGAGAGAGAGAGAGAGAGAGAGAGAGAGAGAGAGAAAGAGTGCCAACTCACCTTCACTTCCTCCTCCAGTTGTCTCCTCAAATCTTCGATCTGTTGGCAATTGGAGACCTTTCCACGAGTCAACTGAGACACGAGAGATTCTTTCTCTTCCATTTGTCTGATCAGCTCCCCTGAGCCGCAAGAGGTTTGCGACAATGATAATCATATCAATAATCAATAATCAATAATCATAGTGTTCGTAATAATTCATCAACGGTGACAATTCATAATAATTGATCATCAATAATAAATCGTCGACCAATAATAATAACAACACTAATTCACGAATAACAACAATTGATGATCAATAGTAAATAACAGTAATAATTCGTAAATAATAATTAATAATTAATAATAAACAATCAATAATAAATAATAATAATTAATCAATAATAACAAATAATAGCTCCTGTAGCTCAGGGGTTAGACCCCTCCCCTCACACCCCACAGCCCCTGTAGCCCAGGGGTTAGACCCCTCCCCTCACACCCCACAGCCCCTGTACCCCAGGGGTCAGACCCCTCCCCTCACACCCCACAGCCCCTGTAGCTCAGGGGTTAGACCCCTCCCCTCGCACCCCACAGCCCCTGTACCCCAGGGGTCAGACCCCTCCCCTCACACTCCACAGCCCCTGTACCCCAGGGGTTAGACCCCTCCCCTCACACCCCACAGCCCCTGTACCCCAGGGGTTAGACCCCTCCCCTCACACCCCACAGCCCCTGTACCCCAGGGGTTAGACCCCTCCCCTCGCACCCCACAGCCCCTGTGCGTGTGCCCAATGGGATGTTTACCGTTCTCGGTTTGGAGCTTGGCTTTGCTGGATGCAAAGTCGTTAATTAACCTCTGGCCTTCCTCGGCCTTCGTCCTGTACTCATTCAACTGGTCTTCCAGAGTCCTGCACATCTTGTCCAAGTTTGCCTGTAACACACACACACACGTACACACAGCCGTCAGGAGCCAGTGGGTGGGTTCAGGTGCAAGAGGGAGATGGATAGAGACTTGTGGTGGGGGGGGGGGGGGGGGAGTCAGGGGATGGAGTGAGTGTGAGAGGGAGCCTGGAGGAGGAGGAGGAGGAGGAGGAGCCGGGCGATGGAGGGAAGAGTTGGGTTGAGTTGGGGTCGGGTTTGGTTGAATTGGGAAGAGTTGGGTTGAGTTTGGGAAGATCTGGGAACAGTTGGGAAGAGTTGAGAAGAGTTGTGTTGAGTTTAGAAGAGTTGGGTTGAGTTGGGAAGAGTTGGGGTTGAGTTTGGGAAATTCTGGGAAGAGATTGGCAGATGGGACTTGCCTTGCCCTTGACGATGTGCTCCATGTTGGAGGCCACGTCGTCGAGCTCCAGCTTGAGTTCGCTCTTCTCCTTCTCCAGCTTCTGCTTGACCCTCTGGAGGTTGTCTATCTGCTCGCCCAGCTCGGCCACCGAGTCGGCGTGCTTCTTGCGGAGGGCGGACGAGGTGGCCTCGTGCTGGAGGGTGGCCTCCTCGAAGTCCCGCCTCAGCTTCTGCAGCTCGGCCTCCCGCTTCTTGTTCATCTCCACCTGGGCCGAGGTGGCCCCACCGGCCTCCTCCAGCCTCTCGCTGATCTCCTCCAGCTCCCGGGACAGGTCTGAACGCTGCTTCTCCATCTTGGCCCTCGCTGCTCTCTCGGCCTCCAGCTCCTCCTCCAGCTCCTCTATCCTGGCCTGAGAGAGAGAGAGTGTGTGAGAGAGAGAAAAAGAAAGAGAGAAAGGGAGGAGAGAGAGAGAGAGGGAGGGAGCGAATGAGAGAGAGAGAACGTGTGTGAGAGAGGGAACGTGTGAGGGAGGGAGGGAGGGAGGAAATCTCACCTGAAGCTCCTTGAGTTTCTTCTGCAGTTGCAAACCCAGTGCCTGTTCGTCCTCAACCTTACTGTTCAGGTTATTGATCTCAAAATCCTTCCTGGTCACGGAGAGAGGGAGGGGGAGAGGGAGAGAGAGAGGGGGGGGGGGAGAGGTGCGGGAGAGAGAGAGAGAGAGAGAGAGGGAGGGGGAGAGGGGGAGAAGGGGAGAGAGGGAGAGAGGGAGAGACAGATGGGGAGAGAGAGAAAGAGAGAGGGGATGAAGGTACGACATAGACAAGTTCCTCAGATTTCCTTCTGACCCACCAACTCTTCCCTCCTTCCTTCTCTTTCTTTCTTTCTTTCTCTCGCTCTCTCTCCCTCTACTCTTCGCTTCCCTCTCACTCTCTCCTTACACTCTCCCACACTCTCTCTCTCTCTCTCTCTCTCACTCTCTCCCTCCCTCTCTCACCCACCTCCCTCATTCTCCCTCCACCTCTCTCTCTCTCCCCATCTCACTCTTTCTCTCTCTCTCTCTCTCTCTCTCTCTCACATCCACCTCCCTCCTTCTCTCTCTCCCCCGTCTCCCTCTCCCATTCTCTCCTCCATCTCTCTCTCTCACCCACCTCTCTCTCTCTCTCCCTCCCTCTCCCTCATTCTGTCTCTCTGTCTCCCGTCACCAGTCACTCACTCACTTTTTGAGCTTCTCCTCAATCTGCTGTTTGTCGTTCTCCAAATCCATCACGTTCTCCTGCGTCAGCTTCAGATCCCCTTCCAGCTTCCTCTTGGCCCGTTCCAGGTCCATCCTCACTTTCTTCTCCTGCTCCAGGGAGCCCTCCAGCTGTGCTCATCAACACCAACACCAACATCAACATCAACACCAACAACAACACCAACACCAACACCAACATCAACACCAACAACATCACCAACAACATCACCACCACCATCGTCATCAACAACACGAAGGCATGGTCGAAGAGGAGGGTCTTGAGTCGAGTCTCCGAGGAGGTAAGGGAGGGGGCGAGACGGAGGGACTGTGGGATGGAATTCCAGAGGGTGGGATTGGGAGTTGGGGAGATGGGTGTGAGGTGTGGAGTTGGGTGTGAGATGGAATTGGGAGATGATCATCTCACACCCATCTCCTCAACTCCCTCATCCCCCAATCTCCCAATCTCCAAACCACCTCCCAATCTGTGTGAGGTGAGGGGACGGGTGTGAGGTGTGGAGTTGGGTGTGAGGTGAGGGGACGGGTGTGAGGTGAGGGGACGGGTGTGAGGTGAGGGGACGGGTGTGAGGTGTCCGTGTGACTCACATCGTCCACTTGTTGCTCCAGTTTGGCCTTAGCTTTGCTCAGGGAATTGGCCTTGTCCTCCTCCGCCTGAAGATCGTCCAGTGTTTGCTGGTGAGCTTCCTGAAGAGCTTTCTTCTCCTTCGTCAACTTGGCGATGATCTCATCCAACCCGGCCATCTCCTCGGTCAAGTTCTTCACCTGAGAGAGGGAACGAGAGAAAAGAGAGAGAGAGAGAGAGGGAGAGAGAGTGAGGGAAACCGCCAATTGGACACAAGGAAGGCCCCCAAACGGCCATTTTTGGCCTATTTTACTCGGGGGAATTGGACAGACCCACAGACACCCACACCCACACGCACACACTGACCCACACACACACGCGCGCACACGCACACTGACCCACAGACTCGCTGACCTTGTTCTCGGTGGCGTGCTTCTCCTTTTCCACCTTGGCCAGCGTGAGCTCCAGGTCATCGATGTCCTTCTTGAGCTCCGAGCACTCGTCCTCCAGCT